ATTATAACGATATAATTACATCAATTTCGTTGTCGTTTCAACAATCAGTGACGTCACTAATCCAACCAAACAGCAAACTGAAGGAAAGCAAGGTTTACAAAAATCACTCATAACAGCTTTGACATATTCTGTCCACTTTGACCAGATAGTGTAGAACTAGATCTTGTAGAAAGTGTCCCTCTGCGCATTAAAGCTACAGTGTGTAATTTTCAGCAAAATCTAACGTCCAGACTGCAGACCGGAGCAACATGAACATCTCCCCCCCCACCGCTTCTCCCCCCCAACAGTACGGCGAGCGTTACAGGACAAAATGTCTTCCACGACGTCCGCATCACCTACCTTCTCAAGTGATGAGGTTTGTTTACATAGATCATTTTAATACTGCCATCTATTGTTCAGTACCGTCTCAGTTCATCTCTCTCAACTTGCCGTAGTTACTTTCGAGCGTAATGGGCGATCTCGCAATCGCTAGTTTGTTGGCTCTGCGCTGCCGTAGCGCAAAGATGTCTGCCTCCATGGCTGCGAGACCCGCTCCTATGTAATTATAAATAACGAATTCTAAGGCAACGCAAATATTAAGGTTAAGAGGCTGAGCTCGTAGATGATGATAAATAACATAGTTATGTATAATATATTACATTTCTGACTGTATATCCCTGTAATTATTACACACTGTAGCTTTAATGGAAAAAGACATAAATCTTTCACTACATTAACCAATGGTGGTCAGAGGGTGGCGCCAGTGTACGGCAGCCGTCAGTGAGCCCCAGGGCAGCTGTGGCTACAGTGTAGCTCGCCACCATCAGTGTGTGAGTGAATGGGTGAATGAATGTAGAGTAAAGCGCTTTGGTCAAGTGTCCTGACTTATAAAAAGGCGCTATATAAGTACAGGACATTTACCTTTTAACCAAGTCCTTGATGGTTGGAGGTTTCAGCCATTTTCTTCTGAGGTTCTTTTTGCTCCCCGCCAGCAAAATGTATAAAAGTTTCTGATCATTATATTTCAGTTTGTTTTACACAGAAATATGCATTCAAAGGTTAAAGGAAAATGAAATGTGAAAATATAAATGTTGATCAATTTGAGGCCAATATTTCTGGATGGTTTGACAGAAAATAATATGGGAGTGATTGGTAGCATTACTGCCACATCTCCAGCAGGTGTCGCCATTTCCCTCATATCTATTTTTCTCTGGAGTTATAAAAAATCTTATAATCCTTTTCCAGCTAAATTCAGGCCAAACCTTTGATCTTGTTGTTTTTGGTATCTGACAGATGTGATCCCAATCCGCCTCTGGAGTCTGTTTGGGCCCCTGTTTGGGGCCCCTGGACTGCTTCTGTTCAGGGCCCAAAACTGCTTCTATTCAGGGGCCCCAAAACTGCTTCTATTCAGGGGCTCCAAATTGCTTCTGTTCAGGGGCCCCGAATTGCTTCTGTTCAGGGGCCCCAAATTGCTTCTGTTCAGGGGCCCAAAAGTGCTTCTATTCAGGGCCCCAAACTGCTTCTGTTCAGGGGCCCCAAATTGCTTCTGTTCAGGGGCCCCAAACTGCTTCTGTTCAGGGGCCCAAAACTGCTTCTATTCAGGGGCCCCGAATTGCTTCTATTCAGGGGCCCAAAAGTGCTTCTGTTCAGGGGCCCAAAAGTGCTTCTGTTCAGGGGCCCCAAACTGCTTCTGTTCAGGGGCCCAAAAGTGCTTCTGTTCAGGGGCCCCAAACTGCTTCTGTTCAGGGGCCCCAAACTGCTTCTGTTCAGGGGCCCCAAATTGCTTCTGTTCAGGGGCCCCAAATTGCTTCTGTTCAGGGGCCCCAAACTGCTTCTGTTCAGGGGCCCAAGACTGCTTCTATTCAGGGGCCCCGAATTGCTTCTATTCAGGGGCCCAAAAGTGCTTCTGTTCAGGGGCCCCAAACTGCTTCTGTTTAGGGGCCCCAAATTGCTTCTGTTCAGGGGTCCCAAACTGCTTCTGTTCAGGGGCCCCACACTGCTTCTATTTAGGGGCCCCAAACTGCTTCTGTTCAGGGGCCCAAAACTGCTTCTATTCAGGGGCCCCGAATTGCTTCTATTCAGGGGCCCAAAAGTGCTTCTGTTCAGGGGCCCAAAAGTGCTTCTGTTCAGGGGCCCCAAACTGCTTCTGTTCAGGGGCCCAAAAGTGCTTCTGTTCAGGGGCCCCAAACTGCTTCTGTTCAGGGGCCCAAAAGTGCTTCTGTTCAGGGGCCCCAAATTGCTTCTGTTCTGGGGCCCCAAACTGCTTCTGTTCAGGGGCCCCAAACTATTTCTGTTCAGGGGCCCAAAAGTGCTTCTGTTCAGGGGCCCCAAATTGCTTCTATTCAGGGGCCCCAAATTGCTTCTGTTCAGGGGCCCAAAAGTGCTTCTGTTCAGGGGCCCCAAATTGCTTCTGTTCAGGGGCCCAAAAGTGCTTCTGTTCAGGGGCCCCAAACTGCTTCTGTTCAGGGGCCCCAAATTGCTTCTGTTCAGGGGTCCCAAACTGCTTCTGTTCAGGGGCCCCAAACTACTTCTGTTTAGGGGCCCCAAATTGCTTCTATTCAGGGGCCCCAAACTATTTCTGTTCAGGGGCCCCACACTGCTTCTATTCAGGGGCCCCAAACTGCTTCTGTTCAGGGGCCCAAAACTGCTTCTATTCAGGGGCCCCGAATTGCTTCTATTCAGGGGCCCAAAAGTGCTTCTGTTCAGGGGCCCAAAAGTGCTTCTGTTCAGGGGCCCCAAACTGCTTCTGTTCAGGGGCCCAAAAGTGCTTCTGTTCAGGGGCCCCAAACTGCTTCTGTTCAGGGGCCCCAAACTGCTTCTGTTCAGGGGCCCCAAATTGCTTCTGTTCAGGGGCCCCAAAGTGCTTCTGTTCAGGGGCCCAAGACTGCTTCTATTCAGGGGCCCCGAATTGCTTCTATTCAGGGGCCCAAAAGTGCTTCTGTTCAGGGGCCCCAAACTGCTTCTGTTCAGGGGCCCCAAATTGCTTCTGTTCAGGGGCCCAAAAGTGCTTCTGTTCAGGGGCCCCAAATTGCTTCTGTTCAGGGGCCCAAAAGTGCTTCTGTTCAGGGGCCCCAAACTGCTTCTGTTCAGGGGCCCCAAATTGCTTCTGTTCAGGGGTCCCAAACTGCTTCTGTTCAGGGGCCCCAAACTACTTCTGTTTAGGGGCCCCAAATTGCTTCTGTTCAGGGGCCCCAAACTGCTTCTGTTCAGGGGCCCCAAACTGCTTCTGTTCAGGGGCCCCAAACTATTTCTGTTCAGGGGCCCCACACTGCTTCTATTCAGGGGCCCCAAACTGCATTGAAGGCATTCTGTTTGGTTCAGAATCTGTTTAATGAAAATATTTTATTCTTTATTTCTTTATCTCTCTGAACTGTTTTAACCTGATAGTTTCTCAAACTGATCTGATCTTTAATCTTTGCTGATTGTTTCTCCTTCTGTTCGTCTTTTCAGTTTCTTTAAATGTTTTATTTTTGTTTTCCTTCAGTGGCGATTTTTCTCTGATTGGTCGGTTGGAGTGGTCTGATCATCCGACTGGTCTGATGTGGATCAGAACCGTCGGGAGGTGGTGGGACTGGTTCTCCTGATGGATCCAGAACTGTTCTGATCCAGTTTACTCAGAGTCCAGCTGATGAAAGTCACGGTTAATGTTTCACTAACTGATAGGCTGACCTGCCCTCAGCTCTGTTTGCTCTAGTTCCACCACAGCAGCAATGCGAGGGGGAGGGGGGAGCAGAGCTGCAACTCTGCTCTGTAGAAACACCAGAACTGCAGGCCCGACCCGAACCGTCCCCTCAGGAAACGGATCAGAGGGATTTTCATCTGTGACTCCAGAGTGCAGCGTATCTGCGATACGATCTGTTCTCGCAGCTCTATGTTCAGACAGGTGTCCCTCAGGCCGCCGCCCTGCAGCTTGGAACCTGAAGGAAACGTCTGGCTGAGAAAATGAGGAAAAAGATCGACTTGTTTATCAGCCTGGTTCAGTTTAAAGTCTCCTTCAGGTTTTCAGCTGAAACAGCAAACGACGTCGGAGTCGTGAGAAACTGCAGCTGCTCCTCTGAGCCAGAAGGCTGAGCAAAGTTCTGCTGCATTCTGGGAGGAAGCGTTTAGAAAGTTTAAAGATCTCACCCCAAACGCCATCATCACGCAGTCGCCGCTCAGCCGTCTGCTCTCTTCTTCTCCTCACATTTAGAAATGGACGGAACGCCATCTTTACACCCTGCATGATGAGGAGGCCCTCCTCCGCTCGGTTCCAGGATGTCCGTGAGAAACTTGCGTCTTCTGGAGAAAAATGAGCTTCAGCTCTTCTGTAGGCCGATCAGAGCGCTGCACAGGGTGCCGGTTTGATAGATCTCCTCCTGTCAGACATTCTTTCTGACGAATATTTCTATTTTTATCTTGAAATTGGCCTTAAAATTATTTTACATCATCTGTTTATGTCTGAACTGAAACATGTTTCCAAATAAAAACTTTCCAGCTGAATTGTGGGAAATCTGGTTTGTTTCATCTGAGCTTCAGAATCTGTTCAATGAAAATAATCTACTGGATCTATTTATTCTTTATCCATTTGAATTGTTTTAACTAATTCCTGAACTTATATATTTTTTATTATTTACAGAGTTTATTTGCATAATTCTATTTCTTTGTTTTCTTATTTATTGTTTGTTCTGAGGTATGACAGGAAGTGATGTGGATCAGTCCTGGGAAAGCAGCAGCAGCCATGTTGGGTTTTTAGCAGAGCAGAAAGAAGAAAGTATAAACTTTGTCATTTCTGGATAAATAGAAAATCAATCATCAGGTTTGAACCTTTTTTCCTGCAAACAGAAACTTTGCCTCATTAGAGGCTTAATGGAACCTTTTAGGATGTTTTCTGTTTTTGTGAAAGACGTGCTGGACGTGCAGCTGCTGGACTTTCTGATGTAACAGTTGTTTGTTTGGGCAAAGAAAGGGGGGGGGGGCAGGAGGAGGAGAAACAGGAGGAGGAGGAGGAGCAGCGACTCCCAAACTTATATAAACTCAGCCGGAGAGAGAAGAAAACAAACCCAGAGAGGAAAACCCTGGAAAAGTTCTCTGATTTCCCACCGTTCCTGAAGGCACCATGAGCCACGTCGACGTGAAGAACCTGAAGCTCTCCAAGTTTGAGGAAGAACATTATGATGAGTATGAGCGCTACAACCTGACGGACAAATATGCAGGTGAGGAGAAGCTCTGTGCAGCAGCAGGAGGAGGTGGAGGAGGAGGAGCAGGAGGAGTGACTCCTTGTTGTGTTTGTGTTGCAGAAGGTTCGGCCCGGAAAGGCAGAACCAAGAAGGAGGCCAGTGAAAACACCAACCGACAGAATCCTGCAGGACATGAGAGGAAAATCACAGAGAAGCTGCAGAACAGCGAGAAAAAGGCGAAGGAGTGAAGCCTGAGGTAGAAGCAGGATTATAATCCATGACAGGTTTTAATCTGCTTCCAATCCAGGCTGAGCGAAATTACAGCCTTTGATCTAATCCAGAGATCTGCTCCTTTAAGAAGAGTTTCACTGAAATAAAACTGATCACCAATCATCCCGATCGATCCTGTTCATCCCGATCGATCCTGATCATCCCGATCGATCCTGTTCATCCCGATCGATCCTGATCGATCCTGATCATCCCGATCGATCCTGTTCATCCCGATCGATCCTGTTCATCCCGATCGATCCTGTTCATCCCGATCACCCCGATCGATCCTGTTCATCCCGATCGATCCTGTTCATCCCGATCGATCCTGATCGATCCTGTTCATCCCGATCGATCTTGATCGATCCTGTTCATCCCGATCGATCCTGTTCATCCCGATCGATCCTGATCATCCCGATCGATCTTGATCGATCCTGTTCATCCCGATCGATCCTGTTCATCCCGATCGATCTTGATCGATCCTGATCAGCCCGATCGATCCTGATCGATCCTGTTCATCCTGATTGATCCTGTTCATCCCGATCGATCCTGATCATCCTGATCGATCCTGATCAGCCCGATCGATCCTGATCGATCCTGTTCATCCCGATCGATCTTGATCGATCCTGATCAGCCCGATCGATCCTGATCATCCCGATCGATCTTGATCGATCCTGATCAGCCCGATCGATCCTGTTCATCCTGATCGATCCTGATCATCCCGATCGATCTTGATTGATCCTGATCAGCCCGATCGATCCTGTTCATCCTGATCGATCCTGTTCATCCCGATCGATCCTGATCATCCCGATCATCCTGATCGATCCTGTTCATCCCGATCGATCTTGATCGATCCTGATCAGCCCGATCGATCCTGATCGATCCTGTTCATCCCGATTGATCCTGATCATCCTGATGGATCCTGTTCATCCTGATCAATCCTGTTCATTCTGATCGATCCTGATCATCCCGATCGATCTTGATCAATCCTGTTCATCCCGATCGATCTTGATCGATCCTGATCATCCCAATCGATCTTGATCAGCCCGATCGATCCTGTTCATCCTGATCGATCCTGTTCATCCCGATCGATCCTGATCATCCCGATCGATCTTGATCTATCCTGATCAGCCCGATCGATCCTGATCGATCCTGTTCATCCCAATCGATCTTGATCGATCCTGTTCATCCTGATCGATCCTGTTCATCCTGATCAATCCTGTTCATCCCGATCGATCCCGATCGATCCTGTTCATCCCGATCGATCCTGATCATCCCGATCGATCCTGATGGATCATTTAATGCTCCCATTTAATCTGCCGATGGCTTCTTTAAGGAACCATTGAAACCAGTCAGCTCTGCTCTCAGCCTCCTGATGGCAGACATGTTTCTGTCCCTTTGCCATCCACACTTTTATTATTAAACTGTAAAAAAGTATCTATTTATTTATTCATCTAATTATTTAATTCTTTATTAACAATAAGGTTCCTGACTGAGTTGTTTCCTTTCATCTGAGCAGGTTAGTAACATCAAAGGTTTAGATCATTTCCATGTTGATTGTTTTACCGTCCAATCATTGGTAGATCATTACTAACCAGATCAGAAAATGTGAGTTCACTCTATGCAGCGCGGCTCTACGGCGTCTGCAGATGAGCCAACCTTTAAGTCAGAATGTGAAGCGGATCAGAACCGGCAGCTCATCCTCCATGTTTAACCCTTTACCTGCCGGGTCTCTCTCTGCGACCATGTGACCTGACCAGGTGTGTTTTCCCTCAGGGCGGCTCGGATGGCTTTTCCCGGTAACTGACCACGGCGACAGAGCGAGGCGTATGGATGATGGGAGTTTATAGCCACTCTGCATAGGACAGATCTTAGCACGACCAGGAGGCAGCAGAGCCAGACCTCCTCGCCCCTCTTACCCGTCTGTGGGCGTGGTCCTGACATGACCACGGCGGTGCGTCTGGGATGATGGGATGGCAGCTCGGACACTTTGTGTTTTTATTGAAGCCTGGTTTTATAGACATTTTAACATTAAAGGATCCTAAACACACCATGCTCTGCCTTTCTGTCTTTATTCCATCAGGTGCAGATAAACTCTGGATTTGTTTATTTTAATGCAGATGATGTCATAATCTGACTCAGCATGTTTGTAAGAGTTTCAATAAAACCTTCAGATTAAAAAGCAGGAAATAAACAAACATGTTTATTGGTTGGTATCGTAGAGATGAATGATTCATCAACTGTTTCAAACATTTAACAACTGGATGTATATGAGCAGCATCTAGTCCCTATAGATCTATCCCCAGACTGTTATAAATATGAAGGCTGTAATGCCACCGGTGGCCTGGGATGAGGGGCGGCGCTGTTCGCGTTACAAGCATAAAGTCACCAGAGAAGAAGCCGATGCTAATCCCAGGTTAGCTTGTGGCTGTTATCCATCCGACCTGCTCGGTAATTTCTTCATGTTTTTATTGTTTCTGTTTATTTTAGTTCCGGTGTTTCTGACGGAGCGGAGGTCCGGTTTGAACCGGCGCAGACTGGATTAGCTTAGCTGCTGCTAACAGCTGGTAACCGTTAGCTGCTAGTTTTCAACATGTTTAGCTTTTATCGAACCGTCTGAGTTCTTTCAGTGCAAAAGTTTATCTGATTAGTTTTTAATGTTTTTTTTATTAAACCGTTTTTAGATTTTCCGGAGGAATGCAGCAGTTAGTGAAGCAAACCTCTGGTCGTTTCTATCTGCAGATGTTTTTATTGCTGCTGCTCTTCAAACATCTGGCGGACCTCTACCCTCTGTGATGCTGAGGGTGGAGGTCCTTCCTGGGTTAGGGTTAGCAGCAGGGAGCTTCGGTCGGTCAGTGGCTGTGTGACGTCATGCCAGGTCTGGTATGATCTGGTTCCTCCATCAGGTAGATTCTCCTGATGGAGGTTTGATCTGCAGCACAAACATCTGGAGGAACATCTGTTCTCCGAAAACCTGTTGTGAACTCATGGAGCAGCAGTCTGAGCAGCTCCTTCATGGGGAGATTCCCAATATGGACGCTTCTCCTTCTTTAACTCATCAACTGTTTATTAAAACTTTTCTGTCAAACTTAGAACAGCTTTAAACAGGAACAACGGAGGGACTGAGGCAGCGGGACCGACCATGTGATGACGTTCATCACTGGTTTAATGTCAAACCATAGAAGAAAAAAACAGGCAGATAAGAAATTAATTTTTTAATGACGTATTGAATCAGTGTGACGCTGACTAAGAAGATAGGGAACCAGGATTAAGTAAACCTGGCTGACAGCTAGGCTGCCCTGCAGTAAATCACCACGGTAACTGATGCGTTACCTGCAGTAAATCACTGCGGTAACTGGTGTGTTACCTGCAGGAAATCACAGTGGTTACTGATGCGTTACCTGCAGTAAATCACCACGGTAACTGAAGCATTACCTGCAGTAAATCACCACGGTAACTGATGCGTTACCTCCAGTAAATCACCACGGTAACTGATGCGTTACCTCCAGTAAATCACCGTGGTAGCTGGTGTGTTACCTGCAAGAAATCACTGTGGTAACTGATGCGTTACCTGCAGTAAATCACCGTGGTAACCGCTGCGTTACCTGCAGTAAATCACTGCGGTAACTGGTGCGTTACCTGCAGTAAATCACCGCGGTAACTGGTGCGTTATCTCCAGTAAATCACAGTGGTAACTGGTGCGTTACCTCCAGTAAATCACTGTGGTAACTGGTGCATTACCTACAGTAAATCACTGCGGTAACTGATGCGTTACCTGCAGTAAATACTGCGGTAACTGGTGCGTTACCTGCAGTAAATCACTGCGGTAACTGATGCGTTACCTGCTGTAAATCACTGCGGTAACTGGTGCGTTACCTGCAGTAAATCACTGCGGTAACTGGTGCGTTACCTGCAGTAAATCACTGCGGTAACTGGTGCGTTACCTGCAGTAAATCACTGCGGTAACTGGTGCGTTACCTGCAGTAAATCACTGCGGTAACTGATGCGTTACCTGCAATAAATCACCGTGGTAACTGGTGCGTTACCTGCAATAAATCACCGTGGTAACTGGTGCGTTACCTGCAGTAAATCACCGTGGTAACTGGTGCGTTATCTCCAGTAAATCACCGCAGTAACTGGTGCGTTACCTGCAGTAAATCACCGCGGTAACTGGTGCGTTACCTCCAGTAAATCACCGTGGTAACTGGTGCGTTACCTCCAGTAAATCACCGTGGTAACTGGTGCGTTATCTCCAGTAAATCACCGCAGTAACTGGTGCGTTACCTGCAGTAAATCACCGCGGTAACTGGTGCGTTACCTCCAGTAAATCACCGTGGTAACTGGTGCATTACCTCCAGTAAATCACCGCAGTAACTGGTGCGTTATCTCCAGTAAATCACCGCGGTAACTGATGCGTTACCTGCAGTAAATCACCGCGGTAACTACCAGGGCCAAAACAATCGGATGAATCGAATATTGAAATAATCAGTCCAGTTCGAAGCTGTTTTTAGGAAGACGGTCAGACTTCTTACAGTGATGGATGACAGGCTGATCAGCAGTATTTTGGCCAAAGTCTTGAATGGATTGGATTTTGATTCATACAGACAAGCAGTCGGGACGCAGCAGACATGCATGAGCTGCATTATCTTTGCTGCTCTAACCGTATGTGCATCGCTGTCTGTAACCACCGGCTGTTCGCTGCTCAGCCTCCATTCGTTGGTTCTTCAGTCTAACTATATTTGCAGCTGTCCGGCTTGCAGTCATCTTGAACGCACCTTTCCTGCTCATCTGAATGTGAACGTCACACGCGTCACTATAGAACTAATCGATATCATTCCCTAGGCATCGATTTAGCAAAACTGTAAAGGAATCTATTAAAAATAGATTAAATATATTTTTTTTTTACCCAGGCTAATCAGCAGAGCCTCAGTTGTCCTCTAATCGCTGAGGAAACGCCGTCCTCTGCTGCAGGTTACTTCCTGTTCTTCTCTGGGTTTCCAGACATGTCAGCTGACACTAAGATCGCCGAGCTGCTCACTGAGCTCCACCAGCTCATGAAACAGACGCAGGTGAGTCCAGTCGGCCTCCTTCCTGCTCACCTGTCAGGTGTTTGGTTCTGCAGGGTGAATGAAGGTGTGTTCCTGTTTCAGGAGGAGAGATCACGCAGCGAACACAACCTGCTCAACATCCAGAAGACGCATGAGAGGATGCAGACGGAGAACAAGAGTGAGTCCAGCTGCTACCTGCTGATTAGCTTCATTCCTGACGATCGCAGCAGCTAATGAACCTGAGCTGACCTCCGTTCATTCCTAAAAAGTTTTTCCTTCCTCCCCCAATCAGTAGAGCTGCTCTTTCATCCAGGATCCTGATCTCTGGAGATCTGCAGGTCTCATTATGTCCCTTCTTCCTTTGAACACATCTTGATGAGTCCAACAGGGTGAACTCTTCTCTAACAGCCGGTCAGAATCTCTGCTTCCTCAGCCAGTCCTATGGAAGATGGATTTCCATCATCTTGGATGTCCTTTAGGAGACACGGTGCTGAAGGCAGCAGATGTTCCTCTGAATGGTACCAATGGTACCGCCTCCTACCGTCCCAGAAGAGACGATCCAGATCGTGGTGTTCCTCCAGTATGCTCTCCTCTGCAGGACAATATGCAGATCTGGTTCTCTGAGGAACGTTCTGTTATCCTCCAACCTTCTCTGACCCTTCCTCCATCCTGCTGATGTGTCCTTATGTCCAACTGATCTTTATCCAACTGTCCTCTGTCTTCTTCAGCGTCTCCGTACTACCGCACCAAGCTGAGGGGTCTGTACACCACCGCCAAAGCAGACGCAGAGGCCGAGTGCAGGTGGGCCTCCCCGTTTCCTCCTGATGCTTCCTGTTTCCTCCCATGCTTCCCGTTTCCTCCCATGCTTCCCGTTTCCTCCCATGCTTCCTGTTTCCTCCTGATGCTTCCTGTTTCCTCCCATGCTTCCCGTTTCCTCCCATGCTTCCCGTTTCCTCCCATGCTTCCTGTTTCCTCCTGATGCTTCCTGTTTCCTCCCATGCTTCCTGTTCCCTCTCATGCTTCCTGTTTCCTTCCATCCTTCCTTTCTCCTCCTGATGCTTTCCATTTCCTCCTGATGCTCCCCGTTTCCTTCCATGCTTCCTGTTACCTTCTGATGCTTCCTGTTTCCTCCTGATGCTTCCTGTTTCCTTCCATCCTTCCTTTCTCCTCCTGATGCTTCCCATTTCCTCCTGATGCTTCCTGTTCCCTCTCATGCTTCCTGTTTCCTTCCATCCTTCCTTTCTCCTCCTGATGCTTTCCATTTCCTCCTGGTGCTTCCTGTTTCCTCTAATGCTTCCTGTTCCCTCCCATGCTCCCTGTTTCCTTCCATCCTTCCTTTCTCCTCCTGATGCTTTCCATTTCCTCCTGATGCTTTCCATTTCCTCCTGATGCTTTCCATTTCCTCCTGATGCTTCCTGTTTCCTCTAATGCTTCCTGTTTCCTCTCATGCTTCCTGTTTCCTTCAATCCTTCCTTTCTCCTCCTCATACTTCCTGCTTCCTCCTGATTCTTCCCGTTTCCTCGTGATGCTTCTGGTTTCCTCGTGATGCTTCCCTGTTTCCTTCCATCCTTCCTTTCTCCTCCTGATGCTTCCCCGTTTCCTCCTGATGCTTCCCCGTTTCCTCTTGATGCTTCCTGTTTCCTCCTGATGCTTCCCCGTTTCCTCCTGATGCCTTCCGTTTCCTCCTGATGCTTCCTGTTTCCTCTAATGCTTCCTGTTTCCTCTCATGCTTCCTGTTTCCTTCCATCCTTCCTTTCTCCTCCTCATACTTCCTGCTTCCTCCTGATTCTTCCCGTTTCCTCGTGATGCTTCCAGTTTCCTCGTGATTCTTCCCTGTTTCCTTCCATCCTTCCTTTCTCCTCCTGATGCTTCCCCGTTTCCTCCTGATGCTTCCTGTTTCCTCTAATGCTTCCTGTTTCCTCTCGTGCTTCCCGTTTCCTCGTGATGCTTCCCTGTTTCCTTCCATCCTTCCCGTTTCCTCCTGATACTTCCCGTTTCCTCCTGATGCTTCCCCGTTTCCTCCTGATGCTTCCCTGTTTCCTCGTGATGCTTCCCTGTTTCCATCCATCCTTCCTTTCTCCTCCTGATGCTTCCCGTTTCCTCATGATGCTTCCCTGTTTCCTTCCATCCTTCCCGTTTCCTCTTGATACTTCCCGTTTCCTCCTGATGCTTCCCGTTTCCTCCTGATGCTTCCTGTTTCCTCCGTCGCAGCATCCTGCGCCACTCTCTGGATAAGATCGCGGAGATCAAGTCTCTGCTGGAGGAGCGGCGCATCGGTAGGTTCCCTCCTTCCTGTTCTTCACCTCCAGCTGCAGCATCGTTTCCTCTCAACGACCTTCTGCTCTTTAGCTGCCAAGATGGCGGGCGTCTACAGCGACAGCGACCCCCCCAGGAAGACCATGAGACGCGGCGTCCTGATGACGCTGCTGCAGCAGTCGGCCATGACGCTCCCACTGTGGATCGGCAAACCCGGAGAGAGGTAGCGTGATGTTCTATGGCTCCGCCCCGGTCGGCGGCCCAGATGATGCTCAGGTCCGTTGTCCCTCCCTCCAGCCCTCCCCCGCTGTGCGGCGCCATCCCGGCCAGCGGCGACTACGTAGCCAAGCAGGGCGACAAGGTGGCGGCGCGGGTGAAGGCGGTGGACGGAGACGAGCAGTGGATCCTGGCTGAGGTGGTCAGCTACAACCACTCCACCAACAAGTGAGGTCCAGACCCGGTTCTGCTGGCGGCAGGAGGCCCGTTAGAACCTGCTTCTCATCCTGTTCTGTCTGCAGGTACGAGGTGGACGACATCGACGAAGAAGGCAAAGAGTGAGTGGCTCAGAACCAGCAGGTCCATTCGGTGTTTGCTGAGTTCTGGAGGCCCGGTTCTCCAGCTCTCAGAACCAGGGGCGGCTTTGAAGCTGGGTTCTGGTTCAGAACCGTTAAAGCAGCTGCAGGTGGGACTCTGACTGTGGTTCTGGTTCCCCTCAGGAGACACACGCTGAGCCGGCGGCGGATCATCCCTCTGCCTCAGTGGAAGGCCAACCCAGAGACCGACCCAGACGCGCTGTTCAGCAAGGACCAGCTGGTTCTGGCGCTGTACCCGCAGACCACCTGCTTCTACCGGGCGCTGATCCACACGCCGCCACACAGGGTGAGCCGAGCCGCCATCATGGCGCGGTCCCGCCTAAAGCAGAACTTTTCCCCACTCTGACCCGTGTCCCCGGTTCTGCTGCGGCGGTCCAGAACCCGTCCGCTCTCCCTGTACCCGGGTTCCGGTCCGGACGGGTTCTGCTTGAAGCTGCTCTCCAGAACTTTGCGTCCGGACCGAAATAACAACGAGCCGCTTTCAGGTTCTGCTTGGTCCGGTTCTGGAGCGGGACCGGGACCGGCTGGGGAAGAGTTGAGTGCTTCTGTTGGACGCTGCTGTCCAGAACCGGGCCTGGACCGGTCTGCGGTTCTCTGGCTCTGACCCGGGTGTATTTGTGTCCAGCCGCAGGACGATTACTCTGTGCTGTTCGAGGACACGTCGTACGCCGACGGCTACTCGCCGCCGCTCAACGTGGCGCAGCGCTACGTGGTGGCCTGCAAGGAGAACAAGAAGAAGTGAGCGGGTGGACCCGCCGGATGGAACCGCCTGCCGGACCCGCCGGATGGTTCCGCCGGATGAACCCGCCTGCTTGTTCCTCCTGATGGTTCCTCCTGCTGGATGTCAGACTGGATTCATCCAAACATCCTTTTTATTTCTGTCATTTTCAAAGATGTTCAGTAAGGAAACAGAGAAATGAGTGTTTGGTTCCTCTGATCAGAGGAAGCATCTGCAGCCTGCCTGCGGTTAGCTCAGCGTAGCTTAGCATAGCATAGCTTAGCTGCCATGATGGTTGGACCTCCTGGAACCACAGCCTGGTAGCCTCAGAGATGGTCTTCCTCAGATGAAGGATCCAAAGCTGCTGTTTTCCAGATAATCTCACCTAGATGCTGATTCACAGAAACACTCAGATTTTATAAATATTTCTGTTCATTTGTTTGATGTTTCAGATGCATTTGATTAAATGATGTCATGTGCAACATTCTAAAGTTCTGTAACATCTAATTGTTCTTTTATTCCAATAAACATAATCTAATCTGTTTATATCTAACAGCCTGAAATCTCCCAGGAATGCAGGAACGGATTCTCCTGCGACGCCATAAATCCCGCTGTTATCGGGCGTTCAGCTGCATCGCTGCACAGGCTGCGTTTTTCCCGCCTGCTCAGCATCCAGACGACCGACAGGAAGCTGCTGGTCGTCTGGATGCAGGGAGGTCATCATGTTCAGATTGGCTCCCCTAATGAGATCAATGGAGGCTGGAGCTGCTGGTTGGTTGGAAATAAACCTAGCCTCCTGCTCCCCGAGGGGAGGGGCTAGATGCTCTGACAGTGGAATGACAATAAAGGCTGGGATCCATGTTAGTAGATGAGGAGACATCCATGGCTCCAGCTTTATCAATAAATCAGCTCTCTGATAAAGATCCATCCGCCTGTCCTCCATTTCATCCTCCATTCTCTGTAATACAGAATAAAGATGGAGAGAGATTATCCTGACAGGAAGAATAATCCTCACAATGTCAAAGAAAATCCACATCTGCTCCACATCCCGCACCACTAGGGGCGGTATTACACCAACTCGTTAACATTAATAAAACCAGAGAAGAAGAAGCGGGTTCTGTGAGCAGAGAGTTGGACCAGTTATGGCTGAAACGGTGAGTGTTTGGCAGATCTGCCGCTTTAAAACCTTTAATAGGATCATAAAGAGGTTCTACTGGGTTCTAAGACCAGAACCAGAGGCGGAGAACTTCCTAAATGACGAACATTTCCCCGTTTGACGAAAATCTGAACGAGCTTCGCTTCAAGGAGCCCGGGCTTTTCAAAATAAAAGTGTTTCCGGTTAACAGGTCAGGAAAAATCAGTGAAACATGGAGCGGCTGTTTCCCGCTTATTTTCTGCGCAGAATTCAGGTCCGATAGACTGATAACGGCGCAAATCTGCAGAAGACCTGCTGCCATGGCAACCAGAGAACCACCTGGGACCAGAACCAACCGGGCTTCCGGTTAGTCCCTGAATGTTTCACCGCCGCGATGCGTTCAGACCGCTTAATCCAGACTGCTCCATCTAGAACACTCCACCCAGACCATTCAATCCAGACCGCTCCATCCAGACCGCTCAATCTAGACCACCTAATCCAGACTGCTCCATCTATACCACCTAAATCCAGGCCACCTAATCCAGACCTCTCCATCCAGACCTCCTGCTCAAATCAAAGCCTGCAGCCTCCACTGTTCCTCCCCTCCTGCTCCGCTCCGACTTCCTCAGAGCTCCAGGAGAGCAGCGCCATATTATTTTTAAATTCATAGGAGCAAAAGATGCAGAAATAAACGCTTAATTTAATCTGACATTAAAATAATCCCCATCAGCATCCAGTAGAAGTTCAGTTTCTGCCCAAATATTTTCTTTCTGTTGTAGATTTCAGTAACAGTGATAACTGGGATCATCCATGGTTTGGAGGAACTCTCTGGTCTCTGCTTCTGACTTTAGACTGGATTTAATGAAAGTTTAAGCTTCTCGGTAGAAAATAAATATTTTGATGGAGATGAGAAATTTGCTTCCTGGTCTGTTGAAGGGCCGATAGTTTGCATCCAATCATCTAATTATATGGGCTTAGTTTGGGGGAATATATGAGAATTATGCTCTAATCTAAAAAAACTAGATGTTAATTTGATAGAACCTCCTTGAGGAGCCGGTAGAACCTCCTTCAGGAGCGGGTAGAACCTCCTTCAGGAGCCGGTAGAACCTCCTTCAGGAGCGGGTAGAACCTCCTTCAGGAGCGGGTAGAACCTCCTTCAGGAGCGGGTAGAACCTCCTTCAGCAGCGGGTAGAACCTCCTTCAGCAGCTGGTGGAACCTCCTTCAGCAGCGGGTAGAACCTCCTTCAGCAGCGGGTAGAACCTCCTTCAGCAGCGGGTAGAACCTCCTTCAGCAGCGGGTAGAACCTCCTTCAGCAGCTGGTGGAACCTCCTTCAGGAGCGGGTAGAACCTCCTTCAGCAGCGGGTAGAACCTCCTTCAGGAGCAGTAGAACCTCCTTCAGGAGCAGTAGAACCTCCTTCAGGAGCAGTAGAACCTCCTTCAGCAGCTGGTGGAACCTCCTTCAGGAGCAGTAGAACCTCCTTCAGGAGCAGTAGAACCTCCTTCAGGAGCAGTAGAACCTCCTTCAGGAGCAGTAGAACCTCCTTCAGCAGCGGGTAGAACCTCCTTCAGGAGCGGGTAGAATCTCCTTCAGGGGCGGGTAGAACCTCCTTCAGAAGCAGTAGAACCTCCTTCAGGAGCAGTAGAACCTCCTTCAGCAGCGGGTAGAACCTCCTTCAGAAGCAGTAGAACCTCCTTCAGGAGCGGGTAGAACCTCCTTCAGGAGCGGGTAGAACCTCCTTCAGGAGCGGGTAGAATCTCCTTCAGGGGCGGGTAGAACCTCCTTCAGGAGCAGTAGAACCTCCTTCAGGAGCGGGTAGAACCTCCTTCAGGGGCGGGTAGAACCTCCTTCAGGAGCAGTAGAACCTCCTTCAGGAGCAGTAGAACCTCCTTCAGGAGCAGTAGAACCGTGGGGTTCTGGGTCATCAGTTGGGTCTAACCAGGAGAACTGGATGAGATGTTCAGACCGGCGCTCACCGTAACCCGGGACGTCTCCTTTTACTCATTAGTCTTCAGTGGAGATCATGGTCCATTCAGTGCCGGCAGAGCCCAGATCACCATGCCTCCTCTGCTGTGCCTCACTGGCAGCTCTGATGATGCAGAACGTTCAGAGGAGACCTTCTACAGCGAGGGTCAGAGAAGAAGAGCTGAAGATAAAGGATCAGAACACTCAAAATTTCCCACAATGCACCTTGAAAAGTAATTATCATCCATCTTCACTAGACCAGCAGATCTATCCCATGATGCTTTGCAAGAGCTCTCCTCACAAAGCATCATGGGATGAGGTGACTAATAACAAAGATGGCGCAGTAACTGGAAGGAGGCGGAGTTACGTGACCAACGCGGTGAAAAGTCGTGATCGTCCGTCCGAACCAAGCAGGAGGAGAACAGCATGACGCTCTGACCTTTGACCTCTGTGCTCTCAGGTGTCCAGCAGTGACCTGCAGGAGCGGAGGCCTCCACCCAAACGAAGACGAGTTCTCAACCCAGCGGCGATCGTCCCCGTCCCGGTTTACTCCAGCAAGGTGCAGCAGCTCCTGGTTCTGGTTCTGGTCTCTGAGAGCGGCTCTGATGGTCGTTTGTCCTTCCAGGTCAGCAGCGGTCTGCGGCTGAAGCCCACGGCGGCGCTGCTCTGCGGCTCGGAGCGTTCAGGTGAGGTTCTATGACCCGGCAGGTTTCTGGCAGCAGGCGGCTCCGCCCCTCTGATCTAAGCAGCTTGTTGTTTCTGCCTCCAACCAGACGATGGTGCTAAAGAGAGCCTGCGGTCAGAGTTCTCCTCAGCAGCGCCGCCCGTTGAGCTCCTGGACTCTGAGGACGAAGCAGAACCTCTGCACCAATCGCAGCATTCAGAGAGACTAGCGTAAGTTGGGCCAGCTCGTGGACCCTCAGAACCAGAAGCCAGAACCAGGGTCTGTAATGGTCTTGTTCAGTTCCAGAAGAAGTCCTCGCTGTCCGTCTCCTCCCCCCCCTCAGAGCCCGGTCCAAAAACAGTCCGTTCAGACCCGGAGGAAGATCAGGTGAGTCCGGCCCAGAGAGTCCAGGTCCTGCCTGTTTCTGTTCTGACCCACGCTTCTCTTCCACAGTGAGATCGACAGGAAGCTCCGCGCCATCAGCTCCACCCTGTCGCCAAGACCTCAGCACAGGAAAACCAGACGGTCCGGGACCGACAGTGACGACGGCGATGATGTCATCATGCTGAGCCCCGGGCCCAGTTCTGACCCGCTTCGTGAGATCCCGTTGAAAATCCGCTACAGAACAGATGTCCACAAAGTTCTGGTGCTGCCGGTAAGTTGGACCTGAGAGGCTCCGCCTTCTCTCATGCTGATCAGAACCAGAAAAGGTCCATAGTAACCTGGTTTAGGACCAGTCTGGATCTGTCTGGGACCGTCGTCCTGGGGGGGCACCTTGGTGCTGCAATGGGCACCATCGTACTGGGGGGGGCATCGCCATCCTGCGGGGGGCACCATCATCCTGCGGGGGCACAGTCTCTGATCGTCCTGTGGAGACATCGTCGTCCTTGAACCCCAGTGGGCCTCAGCAGATGGCCGCTCACACTGAGCCTGGTTCTGCTGGAGGTTTCTTCCTGTTCAAAGGGAGTTTTTCCTCTCCACTGTCGCTACAAGCATGCTTAGTGTGAGGGATTGCTGAAGAGTCAATGAGTCAATGCAATCAGCTGGTTTTCCTTAGATAGAAAACTTTGAATCAATCTGACTGGATGTCATCCTGAGAGGGCGTTGTCGTCCTGCGGGGGCGTCGTGGTCCTGCGGGGGCGTCGCCGTCCTGCGGGGGGCGTCGCCGTTCTGAGGGGACGTTGTCATCCTGCGGGGGCGTCGCCGTCCTGAGGGGACGTCGTCGTCCTGAGGGGGCTTCGGCGTCGTCATCCTGATGGGGCGTCGGCGTCGTCGTCCTGCGGGGGCGCGTCGTCCTGCGGGGGCGTCTTCGTCCTGCGGGGGCGTGGGCGTCGTCATCCTGAGGGGGCGTCGGCGTCGTCATCCTGAGGGGGCGTCGGCGTCGTCATCCTGAGGGGGCGTCGGCGTCGTCGTCCTGAGGGGGCGTCGTCGTCCTGAGGGGGCGTCGGCATCGTCGTCCTGCGGGGGCGTGGTAGTCCTGCGGGGGCGCGTCGTCCTGAGGGGGCGTCGTCGTCCTGCGGTTCTGTCTCTTTCAGTCGACCCGGCTCAGTCGTGCGGTTCTGTTTCTTTCAGTCGACCCAGCTCAGCGAGGTGGTGGCCCAGCTGTCCGTCTCCCTGAAGGTTCCGCCCCATCGCCTCCAGCTGCTCAGGGAGGATCGGGAGCTGCCCTCAGAATCTACGGTGGCCCAGTTGGGTCTCAGCATCGCTGACATCATAGGTGAGTCCCCTGCAGGTTGGAGTTGGTCCTGGTTCTGATTGGTGTCCATAGGCGGGTCCAGAGGTTCCCAGTATTAATCTGCTCTGTTTGTTGGTGAAATATTACCAGAACCCAAACAGGACCAGAACCGGTTCTGTTGGTCTGATGTAGACCAGAATCCAGACCAGCTGACCCTGTGTCTGCTTCCTGTGCAGATTGCCTGGTGACATCATCAGAGGATCCAGACGGCAGCAGCAGCGCGGTCAGAGTGAAGCTGCAGAGCAAAGACAGAGATTCCTCCCAGGAGTTCTCCATCCAGCGGGTCAGGAGCTGCTCCTCCTCCATCGTCTCCGTCTCCACCTTCATGAGGAGTAACGCCTCTGTTCCTCCCCAGGAGGCGCCGCTGAGCTCCATCTTCTCCCAGTACCTGTCCGGCCTGCCTGCTGGCGCCGCCCGGAAGGTCCGGTTCCATTTCGACGGCTCCAAGGTGACGGGCAGCCAGACGGCGGCACAGCTGGACCTGGAGGACGGAGACATCATTGAAGTGTGGACCTGAGAAGAAAGCCGCCGGGTCGGTTCTGATGAATAATGTTTGAATAAAACCGACCCGGCGACGGTTCTGCTTTTTATTTGATCAGAATGACTTCAGTTATTGGATCAGTTATTATTTTGAATAAAGATTAGAGAAGAAAAAATGCTTCTGTGGAAAAGTTAGAAACCATCAGGGTCCGTCCCGATCCACCAGATTAGAGCTGCCGTTCCCACTTCCTGATCCCACTTCCCGTTCCCACTTCCCGTTCCTACTTCCCGTTCCCACTTCCCGATCCCACTTCCCGTTCCCACTTCCCGATCCCACTTCCCGTTCCCACTTCCCGATCCCACTTCCCGATCCCATTTCCCGATCCCACTTCCCGTTCCCACTTCCCGATCCCACTTCCCGATCCCATTTCCCGATCCCACTTCCCGTTCCAACTTCCCGATCCCACTTCCCGATCCCATTTCCCGTTCCCACTTCCCGATCCCACTTCCCGATCCCACTTCCCGTTCCCACTTCCCGATCCCACTTCCCGATCCCACTTCCCGTTCCCACTTCCCGATCCCACTTCCCTGATCCCAGCATTCATTGCGAGACCAAGCAAGCCGTGATCTGAGGAAAGGTTACTTGGCGCCGACCAGTGGTGAAAATTGGAAGTTCAGTTTAATATAATCCAGTCAGTGAATAGTTCCATCTGAAATAAATGAAAATAGTTGTTTTAATGGTTATTGAGTCAGATATGTGGCGGTAATGTTTAATTTATCTAAAGGTTTTTATCTGTTACTGATTAAATGGGTTTGGCTGGAATTTAAGGACAGATTCTAATAGATCTGCAGGGGGGGGGGGGGACTATAAATCTGATAGTTTATTTTTTTAATTGCTGTTTGGCACAATTTGCTTAACTAAGTATTTTTTGTTGTTGAATATTAGAGATTTTGCAGAGATAATTTACATAAATAGTTTAGATTTACTTCTATCTTTCTACTCCTATCATTACATTTGCTTTTATCTCCCGGTGGTTGGCTCCTTTATTCCACTCTGGATTCTCCTTTATTCACTTTATCATAAAAAAATTTAAAAGAAACAGTTTTGAAAAGTTCGGTATTCATTCTTTTCCTGCTTTGTGTGTCAACACACACGGTTGCTAGGCGACAGAGCGTGCAGCGGTGAAAGCTGCAGAAGGCTGGACCTGTTTGAACCTGCAGCCAAAACTTCCGGTTCCGGGTAGACCTGGTCCTTGGAGGATCTGGTCCATGAATTTGAATTCAGCCCTTCTGTTAGTCTAGAAATCACTGAATAGCTTCGCTCCATAATATCACAGATTGGTTGGCAGGGGATCAGCAGCCAGACCTCTCAGGTCCACTGGATCAGAACCAAACATGGAGAACAGCTTCTAGTTTCAATAATCTGGAATTAACTCCCAGAAAACTGTTAAGATGCATCAGGAACTTTTCCTCTTCTGTAATTTTCTGTTTTTCATGTTCAGCAGATTGTTACTAAAATTATCTTTTTCACCCAAACCGATATAAAAACAATAAATGCCAAATTTAATCAACTTTTTACTTTTTCTATTTTTGGGAGGTTGGATTTTTAATCTGTTAAACTGGCTTTGATTTCAGATCTACAGCACATAGAACCGGTGCGCCACCAGAGGAAGTCCTTCTCGGGTCACGTGACCCGCAGATGGCGTCATGTGACCTCAGAGCGGAAGTGGTTCCTCTGGATAATGGCGGCGGTGTAGAATCTGAAAACCTTCCTAATTTCTCTCTAATTCCGCTTTTCTCGGAGTCTGAAGGTTTTAGCCGCAAACTGACAGAATGACTTTAAATTAAATAGATTATTTTCAGCTGGAAGATTAAAAAGCGGCGCCTGGAGACCGAGAGAGGAGCCGTGATTCATCCTAGCAGGTAAACAACATCATCATGTGCTTCATCCCTGCTTCATGCGATCGATGCCGAATTTAGAGAAATGATGTAAAACATTATTAAACTGCTTTTAACTCAACAAAGATCCGCAGATCGGCCTCTGCGAGGAAACCAAATAAAATGGTTGAACTTTGACCTTAGTCTGGTGCGTTCAAACTTCAGCTGAAGATCAGAAATGCTGTATTTTCATTAGAAATCTTCTTTATTTATTCATTTCCGGGTAGAAAAATGATTCTATTGTTTGATCAAACCATCATTTGTTTGGCTGTGGATGAGTTTTCTGTATTTCCAACTTATTTATTCCACATTTATTAGAAATAAGGTTTAGATTGTGTTTTGATTCTCCTGTGGAGCAAACCTCAACCTATAAACCAGTTTAAAGGTTTTATCTCAGGTTTCAAACAGAAACATGTTTTTTTTTAAACCAGTTCAACCTACTGGGATTCCTCCCAATCTAACCAGTCAGCAGCTGCTTATGAACTCTCCAGCTCAGCTGATCCTCAGTCTGTGAGGGGGCGGGGCCAAGCCAGCTGACCAATCAGAAGGCAGAGCGCCACATTTCTAAGAGGAACAAAAAGTCATCTGACAGAAATAAAAGAGGAAAAAGGTCTGAATGAAAAGTTAAACATGATGGAAGCAGGAAAGGGCGGCGAGGGATTGCTGACTGCGTTAGTGAGCAACTTCCCTCTCAGAGTCTTTGAACGCAGCTCTTTCTGATCCCCCCCATCAGAAAACAGCTTTTGAACATTTTCTGCTAGTTGTTTATTTCTAGCTTTATACATAAACTGAGATGTTTGAAATTCTATCAGATCAGTTAGTTTGAAGTTAGTGTGATTCTAACCAGTCTGATCAACATTTTCTCTCATTTTCACAACAGTCACTGCGAGCTTTTATAGCTTTTATTTTATATTTCTGCACAGTAACTCCAGTAAGGTGATATAAGTGCAGAATATGAAGAACAGCATCATTTAGGAAATGTTTGTCTTTGCTGAGAATAGAAATACTTCTAGATAGTTTAGTTTAAATGTTTTTTATATGAGATCTACAGCTGATTCTATTATCTATCATTACTAGCAGGAACTTTATCACTTTCATTCTCTACTGTCACATTATCTATCAGGATACCTACATTTGTTCTACTTTCAGTTTCCAAACAACATAAACCTGGTTTTATCCAAATTTAATGATGGTTTGTTAATATTAAACCATATCTTAGGTCGACCTAACTCCAGGTTTAAATCAGCCATAAACTGATCTAAATGATCACCTGTATGAAACATGTTAGTATCGTCCGCAAACAAAACTAATTAAAGTATTTTAAAAACCTTGCAGATGTCATTAATATAAAGGATAAATAATTTTGGTTCAATACTGCCCCCTGGGGGACACGACGTGTCCAAGCATGATGCTTGGATAACTTTTAATCCAGAGTATTTCTACTCACCGGATGCCATAATGCTCCAATTTATTAATTCATATTTCCTTATTTATCGTGTCAACACCTTTTTTGATGTCAATAAATAAACCGACTCTTATGATCTCAGGGATTTCTTCTATTAATTCAATTACGGCCATTGCTGTAGATCTTTGGGATCTAAATCCGTCCTAACTTTAGGAGTCAGTTTATGTTTATTAATGAACGTATCTAATCTATCCACAAAGAATTTCTGCAAAATGATGTAAAACTGTGGAAGTAGAGAAACGGGCCTATAATTTGGGAAATGGTGATTTTCCCCAGATTTATAAAGTCGAATAAATTTGACAATTTTTATCTTTTCTGGGAATTTACCCGAATGAAAAGACAGATTGCAGATTTAGGTCAGAGGCTGAATAATTATTTTCTTAAATCGGGATCGGGAAGTGGGATCTGAATTATTTTCTTAATTACTGTCCTGTCGATGCCGTCGCAATCAGCTGATCTTGTTTTTACATGTATTGAGCAGATCTATAAAGTCTCTTTCTATCAGCGCAGAAACATGGAAGAAAGATTTCTGCTCGTTAATGTTTCCCTCAGAGCTCCAGTTTTTTTTCTGCCAGTTTGGGTCCCAGACTCACAAAATATTTATTGAAATTTGAAATAATGAACAACGTCGTTAATATCCTCAAAATTGTGTCGTTATTTTCAAAAAATGATTTAATACATTTTTAATATCGCTTTGATATTTTTGTCATTTCTATCTAATAATTTACTTTAATAATCGTGTTTAGCGTTTCGTAGGATAGCAGCTAATTTTTTTTTATATTTCCTATATTTATTCTCTACTTCCATAGTCTATGCCTTATGAAATCTCTATATAGTTTATTCTTTTTTGGAAACCCTTTGTGACCCGTGGAGCTTCTGAGTTTTTGTTTCTATGACAGAATGTTTTTAATGGACAGTTTTTATTGTATAATACTTTAAAGATATTCAGAAAATGTTCATATTCTATATCAACATTATCTTTTTGTAAAACAGATTCCCAGTTTTGTTTCAATCAGTCCTCTTTGAAAGATTTGAGTGATTCCTCTGTTCTAACTCTTTTAAACTGTGGATTATTTTTATCCTTATTTTTTAACAAACTAATATGCTGAACTATTAATGCACTGAGCGTATTTTTATCTAAGCTATCTGTAAATCTATTATCTATAATGTGTTCAGTGGATCCTGCTGACTGCAGTGATTTAAGGAAAAAGATTCAAACTGAACCTTTTATTAATGAACCTTTCAGCAGGTTTCTGGTTATCTGAGTGAAGTAGATCTATAATAAAGTCCCACAGAAGAAGCAGAGCTTCTGAGATGTAACTTTTTGTTGTCTAAATATTTCCATATTGGAACCAGCAGCTCTGTAACACAACTAACATCACATTTTCTTTAATTCAATAAATATTTAAACTGTTAAACACTCAAACATTTAGTCAGTCTGGTCGTGTTTTCTACTATTTTATACTTTTCGCAGTCATAAACAGTTTTCCTTCTCTAATGATGTAATTGAACACACCTGTGTGTGAACGGCCAGGTCGCATTTATACGACCTGAACGGCATTAATACCCGACAAAGGTCGCTATTCTGCGTCTTTCTACGCAGAAGCGGGAAGAAAAACAACAACCATGGCGGACGATGATGCGGGGAGCAGCATTTATGTTTAAACATACTGAAAAGATGGAGTGTTTATGGTTGGGAAAGATCGCTAGATGCCCGCCGGCGCCACCATCCATGTTTACTTCCGTAAGCACGCTGGCCTGTGACGTCATCGC